TTCAAAAAAAACAGAAAAAAAAAAGGAAAAGCTTGAGGGGGAAAAGAGAAATGTAGATTACATTTTGTACTGTCATACTTTATTAATGGAATCCTTGTAACGGGAATTATACCTTTTTTCCCTTTGGTGCAGTGATGTTCGATCAAAGGCATTTCAAGCAGTTGATCAATTTTTACAAATAGTGAAGCAATCCTATGAAAAGGTGTGTTGGAATTCTTAACTCATTTGTTTCTGTTTCTCATAGCTTGTAGGTATATCAGAAGCAATTTTTGCTAGTGTGCATCAAATGCCTTAAAGCTTATGGCATGCATGTGTTTTTCTTGTGATTTTGTTGGTTACCTTGTGTATATGACGTTTGCAAATTTCTCGTGAATTGAGTTCTCATTTTTATGTTCACATGCCACATATGATCCAACATGTGGTGTGTGATGTTGACCTTGCTACAATTTTTGGTGTTCCATCATAATTTCATCACTTGGTACCGTATGCCATCGTCTTGTGTGGTTTTCATGGTGCTTATTTGTATCAGTGAATAAATATTATTTGCAAAGGCAAATACAGTATGTATGGTAGCAGAATCTTTAGAGGATAAGGCTCAGAGGAAGTTTCAGAAGCCTGATGCTCCATATCTTCGTGTTTGTCAATACTGTGTCATATTGATAATCTGTTAATTTTTGTGTGCTTTTGTGGTCAATGTAGACTGATTCAGGAGATACTGGTGTTGGAATCTCATCACTACCAGGAAACGCTAGTTTACTGGGGTGAGTTGCTTATGAAACTTTTCAGCATATTATGATTTACAATTAGTTTATGGGGATTGAACCAAATGAAGCTGAATAGAAAGAAAAAGGTTCTTTCTGAGAGCTTAGTCTTAACGTATATTTAAATTATCATGCAGATGGGCAATGAGCTCCTTGACTCTCAAGGGTAAACCTTCTGAACAAGCTCCACTTGCTCCTGTAAATACCAGTGCATCTCTTACTAAAACAACTTCTAATGCAAGCTCAGGTACACATATTGATAACTTGGGTTTCTTTAAATGTGTTTAGCTTGTTGGAGAATCAACAGCCATGCTAAGAATGTTGAATGCTGGAGATCCAATAATAAAAAATGGGGTGTGGGTGGGAGGAGAGGGAATTGTGTGCGTTTGTTGGTTTCCACATCTATTTTGTTTCTACCTCCGCTACATAAGAGATTGGAACAATTTCTTATTAAAAAAAATGGGTAGACAGGCCAATGATCCTTTTTTGGGTTCCACTTCTTACATTGTTATTATCTTGTAATCCTAGTGGTGGATACTCCAAGCACGGCGCCTGCCCACATAAGTTCGACAACAGATTTTGGCGATCAACGTATACCTGATTCCCCAACATCTACAGATGGCTGGGGAGAACTTGAAAATGGAACCCACGAAGAGAATGAAAGTGACAAGGATGGGTGGGATGATGTTGAACCCCTGGAAGAGCCAAAACCATCTCCTGTTCTTGCGAGTATTCAAGCAGCTCAAAAGCGGCCGGTCTCACAACCTGCTTTGCAGCCTAAACAAGGTAATTGAACTTATGTATCAAGAATAGCATTTTTTTAGCTTCTGCTGCTATGCATTTACATCTGAATGAATATAAAATATTGCAGAAATGTATAAAAGTTACTGGTTACAATAAGAGTAAAAATGCAATATACTGTTTTGAATTTCGAATGTACATAAACCGATGATAATTGTCTTGTGGTGGATAAATCATATATCTTTTATTACAATGAAGTATGTGCTTATTATATTGCATGCCTCCACAATGGCCTACAAAGTGTCAAAATTGGTAGCAGTTTAATATTGCTTTTACCTTTTTTCCTTTTCTAGTTCATCTAAGTTGTATGCATTCCGTCTTCGTTAATTGCTCATTTCAGTAATATAATTGCGGTGTTAATTAACTGGAAGGTTTTCATATTAATTCGTAGCGACGAGTTTGAGACCAAAAAACACAGCCAAGGCTATAAAAAATGAAGATGATGATTTGTGGGGCTCCATTGCCGCCCCTGCACCAAGAACAGTTTCAAAACCATTGAATGTGAAAGCAAGTGCAGCAGTTGATGATGATGATCCATGGGCTGCGATTGCCGCTCCCCCACCCTCTACCAAGGCAAAGCCTCTATCAGTAGCCAAAGGCCGAGGAGCGAAACCTGCTGCTCCAAAATTGGGCGCCCAGAGGATAAACCGGACGTCTTCGTCGGGGGTGTAAATTACACAAAACAAGGAGAGAAGATTTTGGTGGCTGGTGTTCATGTTATCATTGGTGCCAACACTTATTAATTGATTTGTAAAGATATTCACTTGATTGTTTTGGTTTTACAGTTTACACACACAAGACAGAACAGAAGCTGCCATTCTGTTTAGGATGGAGGTGCAACTACTGGCTACTACCACTACCAGTTGCAGGGGAAGTTAAACTAAACTGGCTATCAATTTTTGGGCCTGTAAAGTAAGTTGGTGACATGTAATTTATCACTTTCTTCTTTGTAGTCAAAATGCATAGGGGTAGTTTTCTATCCATATCACATTCATGGCTCTGATTTTTTGACCATCTCTTCTTTTTTTTTTCCCGTGGGAAATGCTTAACGGCCCACCCCATAACTATGGGCTGAGATTTTCTGGGCTATTGTTTCGCAACTTGGCCCAATTTGCACATGTATCTGGATAGTGTTTGTTTACCAAAAAAAAAAAAAAAAAGGTATGTGTGTGTTTGTGTGTATATATATGTATACATGCATCAGATTAATTCTCTTGGGAAAACCTACATCTACGTTTATGCGAATTAACATTAATAATAAATGCAGAATTGAACAATTTGTTGTCTAAAATTGACCACAAAGTTGAAGCGGGGGGCCATGCCAGGGCCAAAGATGTCCTCTGCCATGCTTTATATAGCCGCCGCAATTTATGATTTGCAAAATTGAGAGCGAGGGGCCACATTGGGTCTCAATTAAAATCATGTGCTTGCTCAACTTTTCAACTTTCAAGTTGTTTTCTTGTGTCTGATATTTTTGGTTTTTGGTAAAATGCCCTGATGTGTCACTTGTTTTTAAGGAAAACTATTGAAAAGGGCTTGAAAACTTTGAGTTTTAATGATAAGGACAAAATAAAGGGTAAAGTAAATAGTACCAGGATTGACTTTTTAGTGTAAAAATGTGGTTTTTCGTTAAAGTGAACAGTACCGGATGCTTTTCGTTAAAGTTCCCTTGTTTTTATTCATTCCATTTCCAATAGAAAAGGCAAATTCCTTATGGTACATCAGATTTGGCACAGTTATTGATAGAGTGAATAGATATGTTATTTCTTTAATTCTAAAAAAAAGAGGATTTAATTGAGTATCGAGGAGTCAAAGAATTTAAGCTAAAATATCAAACGAAAGTAGATCAGTATTTTTTTCATTCTCGAGGAATTTCAGGCTTGGCAACTTGCACAATTTGGACGAACGGACTAATTTAAAGAAAAAAAAAATTGTACCACCGTAGCATATCAACTTCGATTGCTAATGATACTTTATATTCATTGTCTTTCACTGTGCGTATATAGAAAATGAAAAAAGAAACCAGACTTTGGGGTTGTATGCGCGACATGTGCAAATTGCCAAAAAAACGCGTATGGTATTTTACCGTGTTAGTATATGTGATTGCCGATCTCTCCTACAAGGAAAACAAGATCCAAATCGGATAGAGCAGACAGAGTCACATGGAGCAAAAAGAAAGTAAAATATCATTTTATGCGATTGTGAAGTAGGGAAAAAAAGGGAAAGTCGGGTTAGTTTTTGCCATCAAAGGAAGCTTAGATTGCGGGATGAGAGATATTTATCCAAAAATTAGGAAGAGGATAAATCTGTAAAATGATATTATTAATAAATTAGGTGGTAGGGAGTAGGGAGTAGGGGTAGGACCCCAAAACCAAAAGAAGGAGGAAGTGTGCCTCCAAATCTGATATTAATATGAGAATTTTAACGAAAAACTCATAATACTGTTATAAAATGAATAATCATATTTTTACACTAAAAAATCAATCATGGTACTATTTATTTTGTCCTTCAAATCATTTTCATTAGTTTCCTTATTAATATATGATAGGCTCCCTTCTTGACTCTTGTGATGGTGTTGATGTTGTGTGCAACAAAACAGAAGAGTCAGTCTTGACAAGTGCAAGTCTGCAAGTGCAAATAAATGAGAAGGCTAACAAAAGATTGAAAGGGAACTTTGATCACTTTTCCAACAAATAGAGGTGATGCCTATTGCTTTCAATCTCAAAAACCCAATTCCTCCCTCCTCCTTAATCCTTCCTTATGTCACTCATTTTTCAATATATATATATATATATTATGTTTTGCTCTGCAACTGCAAATGGTTTTGTTTGTTTGATGGTGGCGGTTTTATTATGTGCGAGCTGATGTATTAATGGGAATGGGAAATTGGGAATTGTATGTGTGTGAAATCGCAAGTTGAGTTGGAGAATGGAGAGTTGAGATCGTCTGTATGTAAATGTGTAAGTTTCAATCAGTTATCAATCCGAGCTGTGGTGTGGTGTGGATGAATGTGTAAAGTAATCAGAGAGTAGTTGTTGGGTGGTGATGGGACCAAGTGGAGTGGACCATCCTGACTCCTGAGTCTGATGGATTCCTCCTCCTGCAGTTGCCTCTCTGGATATTTCGATTCAGGATAATCCATCCACATCATCCATTATTTAATTTATTGCTTTGTAAATTCCAACTCTTTTTCTGGCCTTTTTGACCTTTTGTTTTCTTCCGGTTGATGGTTTTAACTTTTATTTTATTTCTCTTTTGGGTTTATCAAATTTCTGGTCTGGATGCTTTTTCTCTCTCTTCCAGTTTGTTTTTATTAGGCTTCTTCTATTTCTGTTTATGCTGATGTCAACTCCGCAGTAAAATATGCAATCAGAGTAATTTCCCCTTGTTTACTTTTTTTGGTCAATTTTCACTTTTTGGTAAAATACCGACAAATGCAAACACGCACGCACACACACACAGACAGAAGGGGAGAATAGGAGGTGAAGCAAGCAAGGTGTCTCGCGTCCTCGAGGGTTGGGTTTTGCTTTCCTAAAAATACAATCTTGCTTGTGAGTTGTGACACTACTGCTTCTCAAGTTAACTCCTTTGCTTGTTGATTAAACTGCCATAATTTGATAGTTTACTTCAATCCCTCTCCCTCTCCCTGATTAGGTTTAACAGCATTTTGTTGGTTGCTAGAATCGCCTTTGTGAGCGGAACAATGATTGGAAAAGGATGTACCAGTAGGTGCATTTACTTAACAATGATTGAAATTTTTCATCTTTTTTTGCTTTTGCTTTATGTGGGTAATTTTGGATGGGATTCCCCTCCTCCATTCCATATATGTAGTTTAGTTGGGCAATGAATTCACAGCGGGTAAGGTTTTTCTTTATTTTTTTGCTGAATTTTGAAATTTTAATTCTTGTTTGAATCTCCCAATTTTGAATTCTGCATATGATTAGGGATTGGGGAATGAGTGAGAATATGCATTATGGTGTTTTTACTGTATGCTTAAATAGTGGGACAAGGAAGCTGTGAAAATTGAGTTTGAAAAGAATGGGCCTGCGCTGTTAAAAACTGTTGATATCCCTATCAGTGGGGTGGGAATGGGATGGGGGTGGGGCAGCTGCTCAGAATCTGGGATTTTTGTTTTCTTAGAATTCAAAGGCTTGGGTTTTTTTCTTCTCTGCTTGGTTATTTCGTGGTCTCTTTCATATTTCACAGAGTAAAACCCTAATTACCATTCTACTACTAAATTTACGTCCGCAATTAGTGATATGTCCTTTTATAACTGCCATTTATTGCATCTTTGATATTATGGTTTTCAGAGGTTTCTCATGCTCTAATTGAAGTTTGTTGCCTTTTCGCTCATTATTAGGTCAGCCATTCAGAAGACTCCAATTCTTGAATTGTGGAGCTAATCGCCGCTGAAATCTTCAGTTACCTCTGTGGTGTTAAGCATCCGTTTCCCATAATTTAGCCCGCAAGAAGTTGTTAGCTATATGTTGTAACCAACTATTGAAATAATTTAGATCCAATTCCCAAGAACAATTCTAGATACTTGATAATCCCAGACCTGGTGTAGCATAAATTGTCAAGCAGGTTGCTAAATTACTCTCCTCTTCTTCCGGTGTGAAATATTTGGATAGTAGAGTCAAACAAAGACTACACAGATGACTGTGGAGGAAGCGGGCTGTAGCTCCTTATGGACTCGAGAGCAGGATAAGGCATTTGAGAATGCCCTTGCAATTTATCCTGAGGATTCTTTAGATCGGTGGGAGAAAATTGCAGCTGATGTACAAGGGAAAACCCTAGAGGAGATTAAACATCATTATGGCCTCTTACTTGAGGATATATCCCAGATCGAAGCTGGTGTTGTGCCACTGCCTTGCTACAATTCTTCTTCAGAGGGTTCGACTAGCCACGCCAGTGATGAAGGAACCAATAAGAAAGGGGGACATTCTGGAAACTATAGCAGTGAATCTAATCATGGAAGTAAGGCTTCAAGGGCAGATCAGGAACGCCGAAAGGGGATTGCTTGGACAGAGGATGAACACAGGTTAGTATATTATTGTTGAGTTTAATGATTTTCTTGCCCTTATGATAGGTGACATTTGTCGGAGTATCTAAATAAAGCTAAACATTGGTTATTCTGTTCAAGTCCTCTTTTATTTTTATAGCAAATTTTTAACAGGAGTTTTGTCCCTGGTGCAACTTTAAGATCTTAAGTTTGTTTGTCCAATAATAAGTTTTATGAAGTTGCTTTAGGCCCAAAAGCTTAGGGTGATGATAGTTGGTTAAGCTATTCACTATATCGAGCTTTACCTTTTGAAGAACTTCCATATCCAGAATATTCCTTTTAAGTTGTTTCTATTAAGTATCAAGCTCATGGCCCTTGGGTTATACTTTTGTACAATATTGTTGAACTATAATGGAATAAGTAAAGAAAACATGGTATTTTCGTATTTAAATTAAACACATTCCTAACATGGCAGTTGGCTTCTCCTCATTCAACTTTTCTATGTTGATGCACGATTTGGTTAGGCTTCATTTGAGTTTTTCTTTTATTTTTGTATGAAAGACTTGTTAAGGCTTTATGGATATATTTATCACCGGGGTTGCCCTCGTATACTATTAGTTAAATCTGAAAACGTGAAAATTTGGATAAGAAAGAAAACGGCATTGTAGGAGAAACTATCTAAGTATAGCACAACCTTTAGGATATAACCTTTAGGATAGTTTGTCTGAAATAAGAGCCTTTTAGTTATGTATCTAGGTTCCTTAATTGTAATTTTTCTCTGGGATTTGGTGTTTACACATGGAACACCCTATCCTGATATAATGATTTTGGTATATGCCTTACCTCAGCTTTTGGCATACTGCGCTACTGCATTGGGCTAAGAAACCTTTGATTCTCAATTTGGCACTGGTAAGAAGTAACTGGGAACTGCCACACCTGCTTTACTCAAATTGTGATTAGCTGGTAATTGTTTTAGTAGGAATATATGTGATCTGTAGATTTAGATTTGAACAGTAACTGTCATCATGAAAACTGGTTTGTTTATGGAAGAATAGAGCTAAGGTATGTAGCTATGCACATACCGTTGTATAGGAAAGTGGATCAAAATGACGAGACATGAAATAGCTCTGTCCTGTCACCATGAAAGAACTAGTAAGGCCCCCAATCAACAATCCCATGGTGAAAACTTGTTTCTAGAGAGTAGAGACCGTGCTTTTAGATATAGAAACCAGGTTCTACGAAATTTTATGAGGGAAATTCCTGTTATATTACTGTTAAGGGGTGCCAACTGAAAGTATGCAGAAGTGTTTCTAATAATCTGCATATAGTACCTATAGAGTTGGCATTTCAGCTGAGAAAGATGGAAAGGATTGTGGGAACTCCAAAATGTGAGGTTTTTAAGAAAACATGAAACATCTGTAACAATACCACGTTATCAGACTTGTGGCTTGATTGAACAGTGTGTGGTATGCATTAAGTTCTTGTATACCAGCTGCCATTTATCTCTCTTTAAATGATTCTGTCCATCAGTGTATGCTTGAATTATATATACATCATATTCTCTTTTCTTGTATGTTTGATGGATTTTCTTTTCTCAATTCTTTGAGTAGGCGTTTTGGCAGTATCCATCCTGTGTCGTCACCTGGGTTCTTAGTCTAGGTTAAATATCACTGACTTACTAGTTTTTTGGTGATGGCTTTTTGCAATTTTGTGAGCCTCCAACGCAGAGAATCTCAAACTGATTCCAAATCCCAAAACCATATTGTCCCTATGGAGTTCCATTTCTTTTATATAGTTCTAAGTTTTCTGTTTTTAGAAGTTTGGTGGCTGTTGAATTCATTGCTTACAAGGTTTTTATGGTCCTTTAACACGTCCTAGGTACTGTTATCTTAGACCAACCTTGCAATGTCTCCTGACTCTGCTTTTGTGAGATTTCAAAATAATGCCCATTGCTTATGTTTTTTTCTTTCTGTTTTTGTACCATGACAGGCTATTTCTTCTTGGTTTGGAAAAATATGGGAAAGGCGATTGGCGAAGTATATCCCGGAACTTTGTGGTAACAAGAACCCCTACGCAAGTGGCAAGCCATGCACAAAAGTACTTCATACGCTTGAATTCAATGAACAAGGACAGGAGGCGATCAAGCATTCATGACATCACCAGTGTCAACAATGGAGAAATTTCGGCAGCTCAAGGGCCAATCACTGGTCAAGCAAATGGTGCTGCAGTAGGTTCCTCTGGTAAGTCCACCAAACAATCTCCTGCTGGGGCCCCAGGTGTCGGAATGTACGGCAATGCACCGAGTATAGGGCAACCAATTGGAGGACCCCTTGTCTCAGCTGTTGGCACACCTGTGAATCTCCCTGCTCCCCCACACATGGCATATGGTGTGAGCGCCCCAGTACCTGGAGTTGTTCCTGGTGCACCAATGAACATGGTTCCAATGACATATCCAATGCCTCACAGTTCGCATAGGTAGTGTGATGTTTTAGTTATTAGCAAAGCACAAGTTGAAGTGGTCGTTGAATGGTTCGTCGTTACTTGTCCATAGTTGTTGGAATAAGCCATTTATTTGATGGGGGGAAGAATGAGATGAATCTGAAGTCTGTACAGGCAAATTCTGAAAGAGATGAAGTAGCAAAGCAATGCTCTTTTATTTATTGGCAATTGGGCGGCTACAAGTGTAGTAGTCAGTCAGTCAGTCATAAACATTTGATGATGGAAATAGTTAGTTAGCATTCTAGGCAGTAACCCTTTTTACATGTTAGCATTGTCCTTGTTATAAAAACTTGTTTATTTAATGTCTCTTCTTTTTACTGTGTTCAAGATTGTCCTGCCCGCGCCAGATATGGCTACATAAATAAACCAACAGGATTCTCTCTTGATCCTTTCGGTGAGGATCTTAGAGATTCGTAAATTGTGTCTGTTCATCGTACATTGTGATCAATTTTTATCAGGTATTGTTTTTATTTAATTTTAAATAAAAATATTTAAAATGATTTCTGATTACATGATGTACAATGAACGGATATGATTTACAAATCCTCATCCGGATTCATAAATAAATTAGTGATGGTGGTTGCCCAAAGTTTGTGAAATGGGAGTAGGAGAATCTCCAAAAGAGGTAGCAATTGAATAGTAAAATTAGATTTGTTATGCCATTTTGGAAAAAAAGTATTTCTCACATGCTCACATGCGGTACCGCGTGCAAAAAGGTTAATATAAATAAGTGCAAGTGGAGAGTAGAATGGACATGTGGGGAAGGAGAAGGGGAGGTGATGTTTGTTTGACGTGTGAATTCCTTTTTTTTTTGAGAAAATTTGAAAGAAATCCAATTTTATAGTCTATCTTTTAAAATAGGTTCAATTTTTAGTGATTTTTTATTTTTGAAACAGGTCCAATTTTTAGTCAAATTGAACCTTTATCAAAAGACCCCTTTTTTCTTTGTTATGATGGATTTAGATCACAAGCACAAAAGGTAGAGGGGGAGTAACCAATTGTCCCTATGGCCACACGGACACTGTTTTGCTTTAGGGGGGGATGGATTGGACCATTGCTTAGCTAGCACACCGTTCTCTCTTTTATTTTATTTAATTTATTTTTGCTGGGAATTGAGCAATGAATTAGAAAGCTTCGGTTCAAAGATAAAAAAAAGGGTGTCTTTTAATTAGATTAAAAGGAAAGGAAATGCCAAATTGGCCAGGGTGGTGATGATGATTTATCAAAGTCCGTCCAGATAAGCATTTGCACAGCTCCACAGTTACAGTTGCCATGTCGACGGAGATGTGATTTGTGACACTACACGATCAGCAGAGTCCGAATGACATGACATTATATATCTCTTTTAACCAATGCCAAACGCTTGACTAAATGTGGAATATGTGCAACGTGGATGGTCCTCTTGCTTTTCTTATCCAACTGCCGCCAGCCACCTTTTTCTTGCAACTGCAATTTTTGTGAGTTCCCTTGGGTTTGGGATGAAAATAACAAGCATACACATTGAGGAAATTGGGTTTGAGAGGTAGTTTTGATGAATCTGTTATGAGCAAATTGTCTTGACAAACTGACCTAGTCAATACATTTGCATAAATAATTTGATGTAATCTCTAATAGACGAGGACAAAGTAATGAATTATTCTCCAACATCTATCACTAATAGCAGAATCACACATCTTAGAAAGAGACAACATGTCCCTTAGTCTTAGTCTTATACCATGTGATTTGGCTCATGGACATATTTGGTGACCAAGAGTTTAATGCTTTTTTACCTCCTTTTCGTCATCTGATCTTAACTAGTAGTATTAATAGTAGGTAGGTAGTGTACTTGTATATTAGAAGAGGAAAGGAGAGGAAAGGAGAGGAAATGAGGGTGTGGGGGGTGGCAAATGGCAATGGCATTGGCATTAGAAAGCTAAAGGTCCAGCTCAAAAGGTCTCATTGACACATCTGAATTCCTCTTCCTCCTCATACAGTTGGTTACAATATTATATTTTAGCAAAGTTAATTAACTAAAAACGACGCACAAATGCAACGGGCATGGATGATGGATGCGTGTTAATCTATGCTTGTTTTTATTCTTTAATCTTTCTCACTCTCTTTGTCTTCCTTTTCCCCTGTTTGTTGTAATGCTTGTGCTGATTTGGAAATATAGCAAAATATACAACAACTCAGACAAACAAAGTGGACCAGACAACAAACAACCTTATTTCTTTCAGGTTTTTTGGAATTGTATACACAACACACACACACACACACACACACACACATATATATATATAGAATTAATCTTATTGCTAAAATTTCTTTTTCTTAAAGCAAAACAACCGATCGAAGATAACATGCCAATGCCATTATCTTTTAAAGATGAAGAGATGATTTATATCTTTAAAAAAGAGTCGGTCGACTCTCTGCGTGCGTGTAGTCGTGCCTTTGTTCTCACTGATGAGCCATGCATGACTCATGCAACAAAAGTTAAAGATTCATTCACCCCCACCCCCAGGGCCAGAGCCCCACCCACCTATTACTATTTTCCATCCCGTTATATATGTAACATAATATAATGCTCACACAACCACAAGAATCACCAATTAAGCATCCATCCATCTCCTCATACGCAGGCTCATCGATTGTTCTTCTTATTCTAATTAACTTACAATTAATCCTAGCTAGATACTTACTCATCATCATCAAATATGAAGGCCTCACTTCAAGGACAAGTTATAGGAATTCCAATCAACTCCGCAGCCGCGTACTCGTTTAAGAGTGCAGATCATCGTGCTGCTATCCAATATCATCATAATATTCCAGCAACGGCTCCTAGTGATGCTACTGAACCTTCAAAGCTCATCAGACAAAGCAGACTGCATTCAGTGCTTAACAGGATGAACAAGCTTACCAACAAGGCTGAAAGTTTTGCCCATGGAGTCAAAGAACATGGTAAGCAGCGCGGACGACTGATTCAATTTCACTAAATAACTTTATTGCACCTCGCTGTTTATACTAACTGAGAAATTCAGAGAAGTTTAGTCACATAATAATTAACTTAATTATTATTTGATTCAACTTTGCAGTGAGACTAGGGCCCAAGATCACAGAGACAGTGAAGGGGAAGCTGAGGCTTGGGGCTAAGATTGTAAAAGCAGGAGGGACGTTAGAGGTGTTCAAGCACGCATTCAGCGTTAACGCAGGAGAGAAGCTGCTCAAGGCATCCCAGTGTTATCTGTCGACCACAGCGGGTCCTATGGCAGGCCTCCTCTTCATGTCGACGGACAAGATTGCGTTTTGCAGCGAGAGATCGATCAAACTTCCATCGTCAGATTCAGACGGACAACAGTTGGTCAGCAGAGTCCACTACAAGGTGGTGATCCCAGTGAAGAAGATCAAGGCGGTCAACCAGAGCGAGAACAGGAAGAAGCCGTCGCAAAAGTACGTAGAAATAGTTACTGCGGATGATTTTGACTTCTGGTTTATGGGGATCTTGAATTACCAGAAAACTTTGAAATATCTCCAGCAGGCTATTAATATTCCATCTCAAGCTTAACTAATCACGTACACGTTATCAAGTTGTAATTAGTTAGGCAAATTAAGATAGGAGAGGAGGAGGAGGAGGAGCTCAATATCGTTAATTAACCATGTATAAATTTTGTTCTCTTTCTTTCTTTCTGATTAATGAGAAAATTCTCTTTTCTTTGAAAACCACGTGGCCTCTTTCATATGGACAAAAATCAAAATCAAAATCAAAATCAAAATCCTCTTTAATTATATTTTGTTATTGATTTACTTTTAATTAATAAAATGTGGAATTTGAGTGATTTTCTAAGACCGGGCTAGTATTTTAAATCGACTTTTCAATTTAACAGCTTTAAAATTTGATAACAAGTACATACATATAATATAAGAGTAACATCAGTTTCAACTTTCAAATGGCTTATAAATCTAGATTAAGTAGTAACAAGTCACCACATAATGTACTCCACACAGGATGTACATGATTCTAATAAACATTTGTATATACATTCCGACTTCCGACTCGAGGAAGGATTTCGTTTATCCAGTATGGAGAAGAGAGGATCAGAAGAGAATCCCCTTTGCTGGATGGGTTAGACACATGCAGTTGAAAAAATATTGGGTTTTTCGTTTGGATTTCATTCAATTCGTGAATTTGCCAATTAAGTTTGTTTTTGTATGATTAGAAAATGGAAATACATTGTTTTTGGGGAATTCCCTTTGCAGGTTTGGTGAGTTAGGGTTACCCAAATTTGGTCTGCAAGTTGTTTGATTAAATGCTTCAAAAAAGTATACGACGAATCAGTTGGGTTTTTTTGCTCCGCTTTTTTGTCTAATGAAGTTCATGTTGGTTTTAATTGCTTTTTGTATAATATTTGTAATGTTGTGGCAATTTTTTACATGAATTTGATGTTGCTTAGATTTTGGGTTGATATATATAACATATAATTTGAAATGGTGGAAGAACAAATTGGGAAGAAATGTATTAGCCACTTGTAACTTTGATAAAAATTCATGAAAGAAGTCTACACAAATCTTAAGAAATCCATAGAAATTCATATAAATCTATTAAAACCCTTTGAAATCTATCAATTAAAAAAAGTTGGTTACAATCCTTTGAAATTCAAATTGACTACAAGTTTTTGGATGTCTTCCATGAGAAGGGATCATCCCAAGGGATTTTAGCAAAAATACTCAATCTTTAACAACCAAGTCTTTTTCTATTAAGTGGAGTTGGTTATATGAATCTTAGTGCTTGATTTTGGGTCAAATCATTTTTTTTTTTTGGCCAAGTCTTCTGTTAACTCCAAATACTCCATATCTTTTCTTATATTCACTTTCAAAGTCCTACTAGGTCTTTTTTTACCTCTTATGCCATTTTTTCCAAAACAATCGAGAGACGATAAAGGATGCATAGACATCTAAGGGATGCCTATTCTATTCCTCTTTTTTTTTTTCTTTAGATAAACCGAGCCTCCATTATAGTCGCATCTTCTAACCAGAACATTTGTAGGTCTTTGGTTCACTTGTCCAAATCATTTTAACTGATTTTCTCTCATCGTATCTTCAATTGCAGCACTCTTACTTTTCCTCGAATATCCTCGCTCTTAATCCTATCTCGCACATCTAGTGAAACATTCTTATCTTCACTACACTCATTTTTTGCATGTGTCCAACATTTCGTAAAGCATCGTTGACCTTATTATCGTTCTATAACATTTTTTCTTGAATTTTAGTGGTATACAACGATCGCAAAACACACCTGATGCATTATTTCATTTCATACTTGATATTTACACACTAAAATTAAAAATACACACAAGTTTAAACTTAACTAAACACATTCACTTTTTTATTTAGGAATTTTAAACTGAACTAAACAAGCTCACTTTTTTATTTAGGAATTTTAAACTGAACATAAATTGTGAGTTATAACCCACGTTTTCCAATCAATTTGAGAATTTTTAACATAATCAGTATAAGTGAAAATTCGAGTCCTTCTCTTTGCATCATATGTTTCTTAAAATTAATTTTAGTACATTCTGAACATTTTCAACACATAAACATATATTCGGGAGGGGGCACTCTATTGAATTATATATTTTTTTTTATTTTTTAACTTTGAAAATCAGTAAAAAATAGTTTTGAACCCTGATATATGGTCGAATCACATTCATAAGTCTTGCATCATTTTCCTTAACTTCCACGCAAAACATTTCCTAAAACTAAAAATTTCATTTTTTTCCCCAAAAACAGTGAGTTATATAACCCACGTTTTCCAATCGATTTGGGAATTTTTACAAGAGTCATTATAAGTGAAAATTCATATCCTTCTCGTCGCATCATATATTTCCTAAAATTAATTTTAGGACATTTTTTGTCACATCCCGGCCCGGGCTCGACTTTGTCGTAGCACGATATTGTCCGCTTTGGGCCCCAACCACGCCTTCACGATTTTGTTTTTGGGAACTCACAAGAGAACTTCCCAGTGGGTCACCCATCATGGGATTGCTCTCGTGCGAACTCACTTAACTTTGGAGTTCTGATGGAACCCGAAACTAGTGAGCTCCTAAAAGGCCTCGTGCTAGGTAGAGATGAGAATATACATAGAAGACTTACAGGATCCACTCCCCTGGACGATGTGGAATGTTACATTTTTAACATTCTTGACACATAAAAATATATTTTTAGGGGGGGGTGCTCTATTAGTTTATATTTTTTTTTAAATTTTTTAACTTTATAGTTTTGGGACTTAATAGGTGGTAGAATCACATTCGAAAGTCTTGCAAGGTTTTCCTTAACTTCCACACAAACTATTTCCAAAAACTAAAAGTTTGAATTTTTTTTCACAAAAACTATGAGTTCCAATCAATTTGAGAATTTTTACAAGAATCATTATAAGTCAAATTTCGAGTTTTTCTCATCGATTATATGTTTCTTAAAATTACTTGTAGTATATTTTGAACATTTTCGATACATAAAAATATATTCAAGCATGGGCGCTCTATTAAATTATATTCATTTTTCTATTTTTTTACTTTAAAAATCAATAAAAAATAGTTTTGGATCTTGATAGATGGTAGAATCATATTCATAAGTATTGGACATTTTCCTTAACTTCCACACAAAATATTTTCTAAAACAAAAAAAATTCAAATTTTCACAAAAATTGTGAGCCCACGTTCTCTAATCGATTTGGAATTTTTTTTGAAGAATCATTCTAAGTGAAAATTTGAGTCATTTTTGTCCCATCATATGTTTCGTAAAATTAATTTTAGAACATTCAGAATATTTTCGACACATACAAATATATTTGTTTTTTTTTGGGGGGGGGGGATGACACACCCCGACCGAGATCAAGGCATGTTGGCCGTCACGTGAGAGTGACGTAGCCATGTGCACAATGCGGAAGCAATATTGAAAAGAAATATATGAATAATAAAAAAAAACCAAATTACTAGAGTGCACTACTAAACAGAAAGTGATAGGAGTTAGTTACAACAGTAAACATTCCTATTCAGAGCATAAAAGTCTAAGTGCAGTCCAGCAGGAAAAGTACTAGTTATACAGTACCAGGAATGTCCTACTATTATTTAGATAAGTTAGAACAGCCGACGTCCTCGAGCCACCAAAACCTGGAGGAGCGCAAAACAGAAAACGTGAGTGGGCAAAAACAAATGCTTTACAAAATCATTTCATTTATCAATATACTAACCCCTTACTGTAAAACATGTATTCCCAGAATCAAGATATAAGTATATACATGTATATATATATATATATATAATCATATCAATTCAATTCATGCTTCATATAATCATATTCAAATATATGCCATGCCAATATATAACAAAGTAAGCAATTTAGGAAATAATAAATTCATAGAAATATGATATGTTAGCCGGAACCCATGTGGTAATGTGTATGGCTGAATTCATAGCTCAAAGTCAATATAGCCGGAGTCACTACAATGACCTATACGGCAATATATTGCACATAAGTCGGAACCCCTATAAAGGTCTGTACAACAAGATTGGGTGTAATATAATTATGCTCAATTTTATTCTCTCATAATAGCCGGGCGATAATTCGCTAATCACCTACGAGTCGGAACCATAAATAAGCTCTGTACGACAAGGCTGTGCACTAAAGTTGGATCCAATATGAGCATATAGTGCAGGAGGTGACGTAATTAAACAGGCCTGTAATTCATATATCTGGCTAAATCACAATCACCCTAGGTACAATTTTATGAGCTCAACATCATTCAATTACATATCACATCATCGATGATTCACATAACCAAACATAACTTACCTGAACTTACCTGTACCTCCACAACACCACATTTATATATATATATATATGCAACCATGAAATGCATAATCAGAATATAAAAGCATTTGGCATATTATTTCAAAGCATACTTTTCTTTAAAAAAAAGAGTGTATTTCTGGGGAATATACCAAGTATATAAAATATATACTTAAAACAAAAGTCCACTCACTTGTATGTCGACGGGTGGTAACCCCCGAGTCGCCCATGGATACGCTCGCCATCGGGATAAGTCTCACCTATATGCAAATTAACTATAAAAACGTTATTTTAAAGCACATATACAAAACTAGCTAATAACTTCTCATACAAAGCTCAATTTTGGTATTTTGAATATACCAACGTGACCTACACAACCTCACAAACGTCATGATATTTTTAGAATAATTTTTCTATGGCTCACGCGCCGGGGAAGGCACGGCCTCACGCGCCCTCAAGCGCATCACCTTCAACCTCCAGACGCGGAATAGTGTCATTGGCGCCGGATTCTGGGCAGACCTGCAACTGCCTATTTCTCGCTCATTTTTGCACCATTTTTCACGCAATTTATACCAAAATGAAGCTCTTTACTAGTAGAACACAATCATACTACTTTAAAGTTCTAAAAGTCACGGGATCTCATCGGAGAATTCCAAGAAAAACCGGCCAAACTTCGTCCACACGATCTCGACGTCCAAAACCTTCAAAAACAAAGCACTCCGAGCTTCCTTAGGACCTCATTAAGCTTCCTACAAGCTTCAAATTCCCAAAAACATCCATAATTACGTG